CCACCGTTATTAGACACCAAATGAGGTTCATTTACTTAATTAAACCTTCTTTTTTAGTCTCCATTGGTTTTCATATCATAATAAGTCATTGTCTTAAATAAATTCCACAATGATATTGACCCATTTCGTGTTTTTCCCCCTCCTCTCGATCCCTAGGATGAAGAAGGAAAGGAGGTGAAATTATACTAAAATTCTATATCAATTTTCCCAAAGTTGGATTATTCTATGTGTAGAATTCGTTTCATCTCTGCTCATGAGTTTCATAGAAACTTCTTAACTTTCTTTACTCCATACAAGATATTATTTCAGTACATGAGCTAGCCCCATACGTTCATTAAAATATTATGAATTGTAATGCAGTTTTCTAAAGTTTTTTTTAAATTAAATTATCTTCGTCATCTTTCTATTATTGAATGTGTCACGTGGCTAGTATGTACGCGAAGATTCCTGAGCAGATTATCTTAACATATTTTTTTTAATGAAAATAGGGCAGATTGCCCTATCATATATTTATAAACCAGAATGTAAGCTTTTACAAAAGATATCTGATTGTGATTTGGCCAGAGATTCCGAGATGGAGGAATGAAACCAAATCACCAAAAGATGTCTCGGAAATAAGAACAAAACAAAACATCGTGCCCAAAGAAGACAACTAGATATAACCAGTCTTCCTCACGATCCCCTGGGACCTGAATCCTCAAAACCAAAACATCTGCAAAGCCACTACCCTTGAGAACCTGGAAATCCATAACTGTCTGCACTTGACTCTGCAATATCAGGTAGCCCCGAGCTGGATATGAACTTTTTCAACTTGATAGCTTTCTTAGAGGAGGAGGCACTTGTCCAGAAAAGAAGAAAGTGAACAGCCTTGTTGATGATTTGCTGAGGCGTGGTAGACAGGTTAGAGAAGATGAAATCATTCCTAGCTTTCCAAAGGACCCAACAAACGGTGGAGAAGCTGAAGCCCCATAACAGCCGAATAGGAGCTAGGATGGACGAGTCTGAGCAGATAGAGAGATAATGGTTTATGTTGGTGGGGAGTGATACAATACCGATTTTCGAAAGCCAGGGAACCCAGATTTGCTTGGCGAAATGGCACGTGAGGAAAATGTTGTCATGGGACTATTGTTCATTGCAAAAGGAGCATGTAGAGTCTGACAGCCAACCCTGAGCTGCTAATCTATCCTTTGTTTTCAATCTGCTCTGGCTAAGAAGCCAGGAAAACATCTGAACTTTGCTAGGCAACAGCTTATTCCATACTATAGAGTTGTATGGAAAACGATGACCTCTATCCGTGATGAATTTAAACATGGATCGCACCATGAAGGACTTAGAGGCTGAAGCTGGTCACGATGTAGGAGAAGGAGCAAGATTGGATTCATGGAGTAGTTGGATGAGAGCTTGCACTTGATCTCTGTCGTGTACGGAAGATGGTCGCCTGAGAATTGGTCTCCACGACCATCTCCCCCCCAAGAAACTCCCTTGGGACTCAACTGAGACATGTTTGGAGAAGGCCAGGAGATAGGCCTTGGGAAATAAGCTAGCAAGGGAGTTATCTCCTATCCATTTGTTTTCCCAAAAGAGAATCCTATAGATCCTTTACCTAGTGCCCATTTGACAGATCCAGTGAAAAATTGGTAGCAGGAGGTAACATCCTTCTAGAATTTAGAGCTATGATAAACAAGAGAGGGGTTGTGCAGGTTGGAGTGATAGATGGACTGGAGGACTTTGCCTACGTAGTTGTTATTGTCAAGGAAATTCCATAGCCATTTGGATAGGAGGGAGATGTTGAATAAGTGGAGATTGGAGACTCCAAGACCTCCACGGGCTTTAGGTGAGCAAACTGCATCCCATCTGACAGGGTGAATGAGTTTGATATTAGCATTTGTACCTCCCCATAGGAAATCACATCTGATTCTATCAATTTTTTTGATGAGCCAACAAGGGAGTTTGAAGAAGGACATGTAGGAAATCACATCTGATTATCTTAACATATTAATGTTTTACATCTTAATTCATGAAAGTTTTGAATAAGAAATGAAAGGTATCTCTACGATAGTAGAATAATTAACACAAAAAATCAATGATACTCGCACCATTTAACCAAAAGCTAGCGGTCAGGCCCAAGAGTGCTCTAGTATACAACAGAGGCCCACATGATTGGCACGTGTGACGCCCAAGCCCATATAAATGAACTTGTGGCCCTATGGTATAAAACTTCTATATGTTTGCTCGATTTCTGAAGGAGAAATCTCTGGCCTAGCTCGGGTCTCCAACTAATATCATAACTTAAAAAGCCCAATATGAGCCAGGCATTAGGTTGGGCTGAAAATTAGGCCCAAGGCCCATGGTAAGTACGTCATAGTATAGTGATAGCTATAGATATTGAATCTAGGCTCTTGAGCCTTAGACTAATGGTAACAAATGATACGTATTTTGTTCATTAATTAGATACAGAATCAAATTTTTTTTTTTTTACTAATCCCTGTAAAGTGGTCACACACTCTAGCACTCTTCTAGCTAAACTGAATATTAACCTTCCAAATGTTGTAAAACTCTCCGATTTGATGCTGATTCAACGTTGGATTTGTATACATCACGATTCGCGATGAAATATTTTCAGGTCTTAAGACGTGCTTCAAAAGATAAAATCAGAGCAAGATTCGACGGTGAGCTATATATAGGAGATCCTGCAGAGAGGGGATACGCGGGTGGTGCTCGCTGATTTATTAACCAGAAGCACCGCATACTTCCTCCAAAAGTTGAGCCAATGAGCCTTATACTTTTATATACTCCGGCAGAAAACAGGCTGCGTCTCTGAGTCTTGGCTGAAGACCTGAAAATAGTGGTGGTATCTCATTTTGATCCTTCCACATGAACCTGTTTAAATCAGGTCAATTGAGCCTTGGCTGAAGACCAAGAAGCCACCCGAGAAGGCGAAAGGCTCGACGGGCTTTACGAGCGCATACTCTGCGCATGCTAGCTGCAGCACTGCGTGCCCTGCATATTGGTGGGATCCTGAAGCATTTGTAGGTCCAGCCGCGTTGCTTCGTGCCTACCGCTGGATCCCAGACATGTAGCTTTATCGAAGGTTTAGACTATGTGAAGGGTCTACCCGCCTCTTTAAACATTCTTAACGATTTTAAAAGTTAAAAAAAATTAACTTTGCTGGGAGTCTATTCGCAAAAATAGAACTATAGGGGGGGCCTATATGCAATTGGGTGATACGTGGGTCTGTTCGCAATTAACCCAAAAAAGAAAAATAGAGCTTGCCACATGTATCTTGATAGAGATCAGACTATGTTAACCGCTGAATGTGTTGGAAACATAGAGTTTGTCATATTTATTTTGATAGAGATCAGACTATGTTAACCTCTGAATCTATCCTGGACATCAGTATACGTATATTTGACAATTCGTACGTGTATCTTTGAATTGGACATAGCCTTGACGGAAATCTCACTATCATAACTCACATTTATGCCTAATTTGTTTCATTTGGTCAAAGTAGGTTAAACGCTCGGTAACTTCTAGTGTTCTGCTGTAAACCTTCACTAACTTCAAAAATTGTACTAAATCCTCAATAACTATTGGAATTGCCAAAAATACCTATGATAGGGGACTTTGCCCTATTTTCATATTAAAAAAAAAGAGCTTTGCTACAGGGACCCAAAATATGGGACCAATAAAAGGGACAAGTGAGGTGTCCCCCATCTATTGGATAATGAGTTGGCCATCATTAATGATGACCAACTCATTATCCAATAGGAAGATGACACCTCACTTGTTCCCTCTATTTATCCCATATTTTGGGTCCTTAAAGAATTTTTCAAAAAAAAAATATGGCCAATGGACATCAAATCATTAGGCACAAGACACAGCCGGAGCTATAATCCGTGTCCGCCACAAAAATCACAAATCTAATTTGGACAGTTCGCACCAAAATTTTTCTCCGTGTATTTTAGCACAAAGTATCCTATTATTGCCATATGTCTCTTTTTGGCTAACATCCTACATTTAAGGCTAGAGTCCCCAAGATCAAATTAGGTAACAAAGTATACATATACAGGACGGACTGTTGAGCTGTCCCCCCCCCCCCCTTTTTCTTTTCTGTTTTAAAATTTTAACTTTATGTGTTTTCTCTTTGCGGGTGTACCACATATACAACCTACACGGTCATCTTCATTTTAATGCTTGGCTAAAAAATTTATCTCACAATTGATTAAATCCGTAAATTTAAAAAAAAAATTGTATTCCAGAGATACCACTATCCGTTTAGGATGTATGTGAACATGAAAAATAGAAATCATTAAACATCCCAAAATGCAAAATTCTAAACTAAGGGAGAAAATACAAAAACCTTAAACTTTTCCATTTTCACTTGAGACCCAAATTCCTCCTGCCTCCGAATCTCTCTCCCCCAAAAACGCAATTCCACCTCAACACCCAAAAAAAAATCAATTTATCCTTATCAGCAAATAATAAAAATAAACAAAAATGTAAGGAAAAAGGGGAAAAAATAGAAAAGGGGGAAACTTTTCCTTTCTTTCTTTCTTTGAATTTGTTTCCTTCTTCGGGCCCATCAGGGGAAGCTTCTCTAGCATCTCCCCATGGTAGACCCCTCCATTTCTTTTTTTTTTTCTTCTTTCCTTTTAATTAATAAATTAACAAACTAATCTCTTTTGAGTCCTTCCCATGTTCTCTCCCCATCTCATTTCAAGCAATCAAGATCCTTTTATTATTTTTAATTTCCCCCTTTTTTTTAATTCTTCGTTGATCGTAGTCTCCTCCCACAATGTTTCAAATCCTCTCGATTCATGCCACCCACCAAATCAAAACCGTTCTCAATTTCCAACCTCCTTTAAATCCACTATTAATTCTCACCCTCTAATTCAAAAAAATCCAAAAATTTTCGATATTGCATAACCAATTTTAATCCATGGGAGATCCCAAGAGATCCTCGGGATGCGGCGCATTCGCCGTC